TTGTTACCCACACAAAATTCTCTGTTACTCACACACTCAAGGGCACCTGCTCTTACTGTGTTCCTAGGGCTCAAGGTGTCACCTTACAATGTAGGGCCCCCACCTTACCCTGGTCCTAGGCCTCAGGCAGAGCCCTGCAGGTGTGCGGGACCTTTTACCAGTGAAAGAGCCTTACACAGTAATATCCTTACCCGCTATTTATTACCAATCACCCAAACCAGACTGCACATAGAATACCAGGGTTGGAAGGGACCTCAGGAGGTATCTAGTCCCACCCCCTGTTCAAAGCAGGACCAATCCCCAGACAGATTTTTGCCTCAGATTCCTAGATGCTGCCCCCAAGGATTGGGCTCACAACGCTGGGTTTAGCAGGCCAATGCTCAAACCACTGAGCTATCCCTCTCCCCACATACAGTGCTCACTACTCCCAATAAGACAGATGAACTTTTCTTGATGGCCAGTCAGGATCAGGTCCATCTGGGGGACTCCAGTTTCTGCACGGCATCATTGGCAGAGTGCTGAGGTCTGGCAGCTCTGTTCTTGGGGGCTGTGTCCTGGAGTTGGTACCCAAAGAACTTCCTTTTGGACCCCAGTTTATATAGGGAAATTTGAGCCCTTTTAAGCTGTACCTTAACCAATCATGATACTAAAATTTTACTAACCAATCTTAACATAGTGTAAAAAATTCTCTAACCAATCCCACCCCACCACCTTAATTAATTTACACCTAGCAAAATTAATTATGTAACAGAGAGAAACAATTAAAGAACCAGACAGAGACCAGACCAGGGGTCGGCAATGTTTAGCATGCGTCTCACCAGGGTAAGCACCCTAGCGTGGTCCAGTGGGGGTGGCGGGAAGCAGTGTGGGGTGAGGGATGTGCTGGCCCCGGCTTCCCGCCACCCCCATTGGCCCAGGACGGCGAATCGCAGCGAGTGGGGGCCACGATCGGCCAAACCTGCCATGTCAGCAGGAAAATAAACTGTCCCGGCCCACTAGGGTGCTTACCCTGGCGAGCCGCGTGCTGAACGTTGCTGACCCATGGACCAGACAGTTAAACAATAGGGAAGTGGGGAACAGAATGACAAAACAATGAAGAAATGAGGATTTCACAACCACAACTATTGATAAGAGATTTCTTGACAGACAGGATGCTATCAAACTAAATCCGTGCCCTGATCCCGCCTCTTCCCCGAGCGTGCCTTGTTCCCCTTCCTCCCCCCTCCCTCCCAGCACTTGCTGCCACGGAGCAGAACTATGCAGTCATAGAGAAGCAATACCTGGCTGGGGGGTGGACCCTTAAGGAACTGCAGGTATAATTATTTGGGTGGCACTTTACTGTGTACACTGACCACTCATGCCGACGGGATGCACCAAATGAAAGGGGCTAATGCCAAGCTCCTGAGATGGAGTCTGAACCTCCAGGATTACGAGATGGAGGTGGGACATGGGAATGGGAGTATGAATGTTATAGTCGAGGCTTTGTCCCAGAGAGGGGAACCTGAACCTCCCTGGGTCACTGGCTTAAGTAACCCCATTCAGTTCAGACTTGAAGTGGGGAGAGATGTTACGAAGTGGGGGATTTTGTTAGTGTTTTGTATGAATATGGTGTGTACCTCACTTTCCCTGTGTGCTGCATGTGTAACAAGATGGTGGAAGAGGGGGTTTGTGGTTGCAGAAGGCCAGGTGTGACCTCGCCTAGCAGCCTGGACTCTGGACACCGGCCTGGACACTGTGGATCTTAGCAACCAGTGACCCAGAGGCCCAGGCCATCTTGGGAGCCAGCCGGTTCTGGCCCTGTCATAAACATACAGCTAAGGGTAGCATAAAATCCCGCCTGAGCAGCTGTACTGAATCCTTACCTGTAAGGGGTTAAGAAGCTCAAATAACTTGGTTGGCACCTAACCAAAAGGACCAATAAGGAAAGAAGATACACCTCTACCCCAATGTAACGCTGTCCTCGGGAGCCAAAAAATCGTACTGCGTTATAGGTGAAACCACGTTATATCAAACTTGCTTTGATCCACTGGAGTGCGCAGCCCTGCACCCCCGGAGCGCTGCTTTACCGCGTTATATCCAAATTCGTGTTATATCAGCTCGTGTTATATTGGGGTAGTGGTGTACTTTCAAATCTGGGGTGGGGAGGTTTTGTTTGTGCTCTCTTTGTTGTTCTCTTTCTGGACGGAGAGAGACCAGACAGGAAAAACATCTCCTGAAAACATACCTGAAATGAGCACCTAAGATTACAAAAATTGTAAGTAAGGGCATGGAAATGCGTTAGATTATCTTTTGTTTTAGCTTGTGAATTTTCCCTAGGCTAAGAGGGAGTTTTATTCCTGTTTTTAGTAACTTTGAAGCTGAGCCTAGAGCGGAATTCTCTGTGTTTTAAATCTTTCTATTACCCTGTAAAGTTACTTTCCATCCTGATTTTTGCAGGTGTGATTCTTTTCCTTTAAATAAAATTATTTTTTTAAGAACCTGATTGATTTTCAGTGTCCTAAAAACCAAGGGGTTTGGTCTGTGCTCACATTGTAACTAATTGGTTAATATATTATTCTCAAGCCTCCCCAGGAAAGGGGGTGAAGGGGTTTGGGGGGAATATTTTGGGGAACAAGGGACTCCAAGTGACGCTTTTCCAGAATTTTTTGTCTAAATCCCTTGGTGGTGGCAGCAATACCTTCCAAGGACAAGGGAAGGAATTTGTGCCTTGGGGAAGTTCTTAACCTAAGCTGGTAAAAATAAGCTTAAGGGGTCTTTCATGCTGGTTCCCACATCTGTACCCCAGAGTTCAGAGTAGGGAGGGAACCCTGACAGGCCCGTAGGAGGATAAAGAGTGGAGGAGAGAGGGCCCCATAAGGCAGCTGGTTCTGGTCAGTTGGGAAACAAAGGATGGAAGAGATGGAGCCCAGATGACCTATTTGGCCAGGAACAAAGCCAAAGGGTGGAGGAGGGGCTGGTGGGGGAGGGGATATGGGGGGCTCGGTGGGAAGGAGGTCGCTTCTGGACTGGGGACAAAGAGAGGCCTGAGCTACCTGGATGGGGACAGACCCAGCTGGACGGTGCTGAGACTGGCCAGGCCCGTGGGCCCTGAGAACTGCCTGTTCTGGTTCCTGTGTTACACTGGCTGAGAGTCACTGCAGGGTAGAGATCAGGGGGCGATACTCTCTCTGGGTGGGGATGTCCCTGTGGTGCAGAGGGAGGGGATTCCCTGAGGGGGCTGATGGTGAGAGACAGCCAGCTGAAGGTTCGGGAGCTGTGGTTCCAGGAGGCGCTGGAGCCCAGGTCTTAACCCACCAGAGTGTGTGTGACCCCAAGAAGGGCTGTCACACTGAAGCGGGGTCCTCCCAGGAACCGTAGGGGGCTGAGAGAGCCCGTGGCTGGGAGTCTGTGACACAACCCAGATCTGGTGTAATAGGTTTAATACAAGAAACAAAACATAATTAGCATCATTATATAAAATATATCCTAAAATAAAAGTCAACATATGTATATATCCAGTATATGTGTATGTGCACTGTCTATATGTACTCCCTCTCTCTCTGTATATATGTGTGTGTGTGTATACACATACACACATATATATTATCTTAACATAAAACTGAGCATAATTAGATATATTGTCTACATATACTTCTCTGTTTTGTATGTATATATGTGTGTCAGAAGATATATAATAACATAATATTAGATACACACACACATATATATGTATATATGTAGAGAGAGAGGTATATATCTACATAAAAATATTGAACACAATCAATCCAGCATTTCTCCAAAGACTTAACACTTGCTCACACACTAAGACTATGTCTGGCTTTGTGTAACTGCGCCATCTGGTGGCTCCGTCCAGAACAGCGTGTTCCTCCCATCCCATCTCTCCTATGCAGGATTCTTTGCCCAGAGACCAGACCTGGGCCTGAGGGTCCCAGAATCAGTGCGGGCCTGGGTGGGTCTCTGCTTCATCATCCCCTGCACATTCAGGCCACCGATGGGGCCTGGATTGGATGGGGGGACCTGTGGGTCTTAGTTCATGGAGGAAGCGGACATCTTCTGGGGGAAACCCGTCACTGCCAACATCCTCAGAGAGGTGTTGGGGGAGGCACAGGGCCACTTCTGGATGCTGGGGTACCTGGAGAACGGGTGCTGCTACTTGGGCAACGAGAACATGAGATACAGGGACAGGAGCTGCTATTATCTGCACATCTGAACCCCTCCGCCACCGAACACCCCCCTCGCCAAGTGCCACGACGCCTAAAACCCCCACCGAGCACCGCCAAACCCCACCCACTCAGAGCGCCGTCCTGCCGTATCCCCCCCACCGAGCGGCGTGCTGCTGAATCCCCCCACCGCCGAACGCCCCCCGCGGAGCGCCGCGCCGCTCTGCCATACCCCCCCGCCGAGCGGTGCGCTGCTGAACCCCCCTGCTGCTATACCCGCCCACCAAGCACCGCGCAGCCCAACCCCCCTGTCGTGCGCTGCGCTGCCGAACACCCCCCACCGCCGAACACCCCCCCGTGGAGCGCCCCGCCTCGACACCCCCCCCCGCGCAGCACCGTGCTGCCGACTGCCCTGCCACTGAAACAAAAACAACCCACCCCACCCCCAGTGCCGCCCGACTGAACCAAAAAAACAAACAAAACCCGAGCGCCCCCCCGCCAACCCAAGATTGGCCGCCCCTTACCAGGTGCCGCCCCAAGCACGTGCTTGGTCGACTGGTGCCTGGAACCGGCCCTGCCTGAGCCAGCCAGTCCCCCACCCTGGGGCTGGATCCAAGTCATCACCCACACGAGGGGAAAGGCCCAGTGGCCCATTCCCTGCCTGGCTAGTGGCTTGAAACAAAAAATGGTCACAATTTTTAGCAAACCAAAAACTGTTTAAGTAGAAACAAAAAGAAAAAATGTTGAATTTTTTGGTGAACCAAACATTTGAAAAAAAATACTTTGGGGTCAATCTGAAAGCATTATTTGATAAATTTTGAGGGAACCCAAAGTCAGCAGGAAAAAATCTTTTCATGTAAAACCAAAAATGGAAATTGGTCAAAATTTTCTGCGAATCAGAAGGTCAGAAATAGATTTGGTTTGAGGATGAAACACTTTGTTTCGATTTCCAGCATTTTAGACGTTTTTTAACTACAAAGTAAAATTACAGAAAATTTCAAACCATACAGTGTGTTTGAATTGAGAAAGTGAAACATTTTTTTTTGAAAATGCCTAAATGAAATCTTTCAATTTCGGGGAATTTTGGGAGGTTTTCTCCCCAAAACAGACAAATTGACAAAATCTTCCCAGATTTACACAAAGTTTGGTGTTGCCGAACTTGCATTTTGCACCCAAAAAAAAGTTTGTCGGTGAAACTTTCTCCCCGCGCTGCCTGGGGGCGGCCGTTAGAGTAGCTGGGTTGGGCGTTGGCTTGCAGGGATCAGTAACTAGCATCAGCTTGTCTGCTCTGTTCTCTAGAGGGTCTCAAATTGTGTTTGTCACTGGGGTATCTGGGTGCCTGGCGGTCATCACAGAGCAAACAAAGTCATAATCATCAAGGCAACAAACAGATCATCTACTGGTCATATAAACATTACAAGCAGCTTCCTTGTGCTTCCCACATGCATGGGTCTGAGGGGGCAGGATATCAGACTAGATAGGCCTGTTGGCCTCTCCCAAGGTGGCAGTTCCCCCAGCTGATGTCTCATTCTCTGTTTCCTAAGTCCTCTGAGATTCCAGTTCCTTGTCAGCTCTTCGGTGGCTGAGGAACATCCCGATCTACACACCGGACTCGGGCACAGTGGATTCCCTGTCCCCCGGCCTGTTCTTCCTTCTGCTTCCATGACAGCAGCAGGGTGTCCTGGAAGAGAGAGATTCTGGGGTATATAAGTGGCTGGCAGTCTGGATAGATAGATAGATGGGTGCGTAGGTACATAGTTGGGTAGGTGAGTAGACAGTAAGTTTGTGGGGAGGTAGGTGGGCAGATCAGTGTGTAAGTTTATGGGTAGGTGGGTAGATGGGTGGGTGGGTAGGTCAGTGGGTGGGTACATCAGTGGGTGGTTGGGTCAATGGGTTGGGAGCTAGGTCATGTGGTAGGAAGATGGGTGCATCAATGGGTACATAGGTAGGTAGGTGGGTTGGATGGTAGGTGGGTGGGTGCGTAGGATGCTAAGCCGTAGGTAGGTAGCTAGGCACGGTGGTAGGTGGGTAGATGGGTCGGTCAGTGGGTTGGTAGCTAGGTGGCTACATAGGTGGGTAGAACGGTGGGTAGGTATATGAGTAGGTAGGTACATAGGTGGGTAGGTCAGTAGGTGGGTCGGTAGCTGAGTTACCGTCTGTAATAGAGCAGGGTGAGGTAATAGGCCAGGAAGAATCCAGTTGCCACGAAGACGAGTTTGCAGCTGATTTCGATAAACACCCAAGTGAGGCCACCTGTGGGAGCTGGAACAAGCCGAGAGTCTGAGATAGATCCCTGCAACCCCTGTCCAAGCCAGCCAGCCCCTGCCCTGGGGCCGGGTAGGAGCCAGTGATTCCTTAAGGGGGAAAGGTCCTGTGGCCCAATGTCCGCCCACCTCCCCCCAAAAGCCAGTCAATCCCCTCCCTGGGGCAAGATCAGAGCTCGCACCCTCTAGTAGGGAAGCGCTCTCACATGTTTCCAGTGGGCTCAGCAGTACAGCGTACATCCTGTGGATGTTGGAACGGAGGCAGAAGATCCGGGGGTCCCTGTCCCCACTTCCCGTCCAACTCAGGGCGCTGACAGCCTCGTCCCCCTGGGCCCATGAGGTGACCTGCAGGGCCCCCCGAGAGCCGTTCCCAGCCACGGGCTCCCCGTCCACCTGCCACTGGAGCTGGAGCAGGGGGTGGGAGCACAGGGAGCAACTGCAGCTGATGCTGGGCCCCTGGCGCTGGCGGGACGAGTTCAGCGCGGTCCCCAGCTAGGGGATGTCTGGGGAGCGCAGGACACACAGTAACAAATTAATAGTCAGAGAGAGAAACCCAGGGGCAGGGAGTCCCACGGGTTAACCATACTAATACCCAGGGGAAGGGAGTCCCATAGATTAACCTGTTAGTATCCAGTAGGGGATTCCCACAGGTTCTTTTGCCCTGGGGTGTCTGGCCCCCAGACACTGATCCGGCCCCATCCTCGGTCAGTTGCACTTCACACCAACCCACCTGCTTCTCCACCTTCAGCCTGGGAGCTCATGGCCCTTGTAGATGTCCCAGGTGTCCACTCAAGCCTCAGCTGGCCCCCGTGCGGCTGCCCTCAAAGTGGCTAATTCACTATGGCAGCCTCCCACTCCCCAGACGTGTCCTCTCCAGGCCGGGCCAGAGCCAGGGGACTAAATAACCCCGTTCTCACCCCCAGAAGAGCCCCAGGCACCATCAGACATGTCAGACACCCCCCTCATAGGTCCTTTGCATTCCCCGCTTGGTTCATCTCTCCCCAGCCCTCTCCTTTCACTCTCTGGCTTAGCCAGCCTGGCCTGGGTACTTTGCAACCAGGCTTCCCGGCTCCACCTAGAGGGCGGGATCTGAAATCAACACCCAGAACAGCCGGACGCTGATATTGGCTGGCCAGGCCTGGCAGGGTCTGTCCATGCTGCCCTCAAAGCCCCGCAGCGCCGAGCCTCAGAGCCTGGGTCCGTTGGGTCGGGCTCGCGGGGCTCGGGATGCGGGGCTTTGATTGCAGCGTAGACGTTTCCTCCAAGGTCTGTGTAGACGTTGGGGGTTGGGCTGGGGCCTGGGCTCAGACATGGGGGGGCGACTGGGGGTGGGTTCCTTCTAACTCTCCCTCCGGCTGAAGGGAACAAGGGCCGTCCTTACAGTGATGCCTGATTTGATCCTTCACCTCGCAAAGGCGGCCGCTGATTTCCCCTCTGCCCTGGATCTGCAGCGCGAGGGTCACAGGCCATTTAATGCGGGTTTGCCCTGGGGCAGGGCGGGCCGAGGTCTCTGGGCACCGAGCCCGGAGCATGTTTAGTGCCGGACAGCGACTGGGTCCTGTTAACACTCTGCCCCATATAGAGCATCCACCGATCCCGGCAGAAAGGGGAGGGGGTGGAGGAGACGCAGTGGGACAGCCTGGGGGGATCTCAGGGGGAACCGGGGTGGCTGGTGTGAGGGGAAATCCCAACAAAGGGGGTTGGAATGGGGGGATGGATCGCAGCACAGGAGGATTTTGGGGGCAGGGCAGGTCGGGGGTAGAGAGGGGAGCCATAGCCAAGGGGGGCATGAAGGGGTGACGATCCCAAGGGAGAAGGGGCTGCAGGGTCTGGAGGGAAGGGGCCTGGAGTAGAATTGGCTGAGGGTGCATGGTGAGGGGAGGGTATCCCAGCACAGGGCTGAGTTCGGGGAAGGGCTGGAGTGCAGGGCTAGGGAGCCCAGGGGTGGGGATCCCAGCAGAGGGGGCTGGGGGCAGCGTGGAGGGGCTGGGCAGGTCACTCACAGCCCACACGGAGCTGGATGGTTCTGCGGGTGGAAGGTCCCTGTGCTGAGCTGTACGTGACGTTGCAGACGAGCTCTTTGCCGTGGTCCCCCAGGCTGGGCGTGAAACGGAGCGCGGAGCTGTGGGCCCAGGTGCTGTTCGCCAGCTGGGTTGAGATGTTCCGGGCTGTGTCATTGAACGGCCCCATCCAGGTGACTCGGGGAGGGGTCCCGGAGCAGCGCCCAGGGGCCGTGCAGGTCACAGTCACCAGCTCCCCAGCCAGCAGCGTCCCTGGCAGCCCCCGTGCCGGTGAGATCTGGATCTCTGGCTCCTCCGTCAGGCCTGGACATGGGGAGAGGGGAGAGAATCAGTCGGGGACATGGGGCCTTTCCCCTCGAGGGGCTCAGCCCGGATCTGACCCCAGGACGGGGACTGGCTGGCTCAGGGGGCTGATAAGCGGTGACTGCGGCTGCTCTTACGTGTCACGGAGATCGTGAGCACAAGGTCAGTGCCGTCTATACTGGAGCGGTAACTGTAGCTAAAGTCTCCCTGGACTCTAAGGAAATATCTCCCCGCATCCGTCCATCGGGCGTCGCTGATTTGCAGGGAGCAGTCGCCGTGCGCTGGATTTTCCGCCAGCCGGAACCAGCCCTGGGTCTCCTGCGACACCCCCCGGCTGGGGTCACTGCTGGCCACGGGCGGATCATAGCCCCCAATGGCCTGATCCTTGTACCAGTATCTGTAGAGCCGGGACTGGGAATTCTTAGTGTCATAGGATGCTGGGTACATGAACGTGCAGGGGACCAGAATGCAGAGACCTTCCTGCACTGACACTGATGGTGGCACCGTCAGGGTAAATCCGGGCAGCTGGGACAGGGACTCTGCTGGGGACGAAGAGTTATTGATGTGGGACCCATATAGTGCAGAGACCAACCCTGAGCTCTCCCCACAGCTCTGCCAATGCCCCTCACTCCCGACCCACAGCCCATCCATTGAGCTCCATCTGCTCCCTTTCGCTCAGCACCCCCAGCACCACACTGGGGCACAGGGCTCCCCTCCCCCTCTGGCCAGCCTCCCTTTCAAGCTCTGGGACAGACCTGGCCCTGCTTAGCGCAGGTTCTGCCCTTCCCCCTTCACTGGAGCTGCAGGTGCTGCTTACTTACCCCTCCAGAGCAGGGCGAGGATCAGGACCCTCAGTGTGGCAGGACCCCCTGCTCTCCAGGGGGGGCCCTGAGCCCGGAGCTCCAATTCTCTTGAATCCTGCTGTGGTAGCAGGGCTCTGCCCATGACTGGGCTTTGGGCTGGGACAGACCTAGAGACAGACGGGGGGTGGGAAGTGTAAGAGCAGAGGTTGTTTGGGGAGGACAGATCTGCCTGGGGGACCATCAGTACTGCTGGGCTCTGCAGGGGGCTGATCTGGGACTTCTGGCAGCGCAATGACCCCCCCCCCCATCCCCAAATCACCAGACAGTCCTGAGAGACCATGGGCTAAAAAAATCCTTAAATTGGCACACACCAAAAAAGAGAGATTTTCTCTAAGAATCACAAGATATGCCAGAAAATCCCGAGCTGGTATCAGAAGATCATCGGAAGGCCTGCTTTGTTTCAGTCTTCCCACAAAAATTAACATGTGAGCGGGTGACCACTGAAGTTACCACAGACAACAAAGGGGACGGGCTGCAGATTGGGATAAGTAAATAACACGTCAGAGATGTTCCGACCAATTTAAATGAATTCAAATCAGTGGGGCATGACACTGTTCAAGAAATCTTGGAGCCACTGGCAATAATATTTGCAAACTGATGGATGCCAGAAGAGGTCTCAGAAGATGGGAGAAGGACTAACAGAGTGGCCATCTTTAAAAGGGGAAAAAGGAGGAGCCGGGAACTATAGACCAGTCAGCCTGAGCTCGACATGTGGAAAGCTACTAGAGCAATGTATAAAACCTTCAATTTGTGAGGACGAAAGGGTGATCACCGGCATGGATTCACCAAGAACAAATCTTTCCAAACCAGCTTGATTTCCTTCTTTGATGAGGTAACTGGTTGCCAGTGGGGGAAAGAAGTGGAAATAATATAACTGGACTTCAGCAAGGCTTTTGACAGAGTCCAACATGACTTTCTCCTACATAAGCTGGAGAAGATTTCTGAAGGAACTCAAATGTGAGATTGCAGAACTACTTACTGTGGTGTGTAACCTATCATTTAAATCAGCTTCTGTGCGAGATGACTGGAGGATAGCTAATGTGACCCCAATTTTTAAAAAAGGCTCTGGAGGTGATTCCAGCAATTAGAGGCCACTAAGCCTAACTTCAGAGCTGGGCAAACTGTTTGAAACTACAGTAAAGAACAGAATTATCAGATGCATAATGAATACAATTTGTTGGAGAAGAGTCAACATGGTTTCTGTAAAGGGAAATCATGCCTCACCAATCTATTAGAATTTTTTGAGGGAGTCAACAGCATGTGGGTAAGGGTGACCCAGTCTATGTACTTAAATTTTCAGAAAGCCTTTGCAAACATCCCTCCCGAAAGGCTCTTAAGCAAAGTAAGCTTTCATGGGATAAGTGGGAAGGTCCTTTCCTGGATCAGTAACTGGTTAAAGATAGTTAAAGGATAGGAATAAATGGTCAATTTTTACAGTGGAGAGAGGTAAATAGTGGTGTCCCCCAGGGATCTGTATTGGGACCAGTATTGTTCAACATATTCGTAAATGATCTGGAAAAAGGGGTCAACAGTAAGGTGGCAAAATTTGCAGATGATACAAACGTACTCAAGATAGTTAAGTTGAAAGCTGACAGCAAAGAGCTACAAAGGATCTCACAAAACTGGGTGACTGGGCAACAAAATGGCAGATAAATTCAATGTTAATAAATGCAAAGTAATGCACG